AATCGATTATAATATAATTATACTAGCATGGAAATATCTTATTCTAATTAGGATCCTATCTTTGTGAGTGTGCATGATGGTGGAATTCACTTAGGTTTTTTCATATATGTATATTGGAAAATTATGTTAGATCCATTCTACTGTCTCTTCTATTTCTATCTCCCATCCCTTCCCTCATTCCCCTTTGTCCAATCTACTGAACTTCTCTTTTTCCCCTCCCTCACTTTATTGGGTTTAGATTCCATATTTATGCTAATTAGTGAAAGATATCAAGTACTGTTTTCCCTTCTTTAGACTGTAGATTCAAAAGTACATGCAGTGACATTCGGGCAGTTCTTAAAGGTAAAAACTAGTATTACATAAGGGATACCTCTCTCACACAACAAGCCCCTTGTTAAACATTCCTCTAGTTGTATTCAGTGAGACCCAAGGAAAATTAGAAGATCTTCTGCTTTGGACAAGAGTTAAATATTAGTATGTAACAAAATGAAAAATATATTTGAGAAATATGCTATACCAAAAAATAAAAACAAATCGTTTCTACATTTGTTAGTGTTATGGCTTGATAGCACTGAAGTTTGACTTTATCAGTCCTGATTATAATCCAGTTGTCAGTTTTTTTCATGTCTGGGCAATAGCATTTCTCAAGTTCATGCATTTTCAATAGGGGCAAAGTTGCCCTCAAGGGGCAAAAAAGGGTTAAATATTATAATAATTTGTGGTTTTCTCAAGGACCTCAGTGTATCAATCATGTTTGTATGTGTATGTATGGTATATGTATAAATATATGCCAAAACTCATATATATGAATTTTGGCATATATAAAAAGCATATATGAGGCATTAAAATTTAATTCGGACAAAGGTTGTGACAAGGAAAAAGAAGTTGAAAAGAGTCCTTAAGAAGGAAAGTAAAGAAAAACCAAGTTGAGAAATGCCTGTATCCCTCCTTGCCCTCACAGTGTTCATTGCCAAATATCGAATTAGAGCTTCACATTCCATGTTTTCACATCCCATGTTCACATATTTTTAATATATTGATGGTCATGATGTGATGTTTGCATGTTTAGAATTTAGTCTTATGTATTTCTTATTGACCTTCTCAGAGATGAGACTAAATTCTGATACTAAATGATGACACTAAATTTTCTCGTATGAATGATAAACCAGACTAACATTATACAGAAAAGACAGTTTGGGACCTGGAAGTTTTTAAAACGTGAAACTATAGCCCTCCCCTTCCCACAACCTAAAGTGCTCCCAACACTTACAAAAACTATTAATATCACCATTTGATTTCATAACTTTGTTCTTTCTTGCAGGTAAAAGACCTCATGAGTGTGGAATCTGTAAAAAGGCATTTAAACACAAACATCATTTGATTGAACACATGCGATTGCATTCTGGAGAAAAGCCCTATCAATGTGACAAGTGTGGAAAGCGCTTCTCACACTCGGGATCTTATTCTCAACACATGAATCACCGCTATTCATATTGCAAGAGAGAAGCAGAAGAACGAGATGGCGCAGAGCAGGAAGAGGCAGGGCCAGAGGTCCTGAGGAACGAGCACGCTGGTGCTCGGGCGTCTCCCTCGCAGGTCGACTCAGATGAGAGAGAGAGTTTGACAAGGGAAGAGGATGAAGACAGTGAAAAAGAGGAAGAGGAGGAGGAGGATAAAGAGATGGAAGAATTACAGGAGGAAAAGGAATGTGAAAAACCCCAGGGAGATGAGGAGGAGGAGGAGGAGGAAGAAGAGGCAGAAGAAGAAGAAGAGGCAGAAGAAGCAGAGAATGAGGGAGAGGAAGCAAAAACTGAAGGCCCAGTGAAGGATGATGGAGCTGTGAGTCAAGCAAGCAGCTTAGAACAGAAGGTCAGCGAGAACAGCGAGCAAGTATCTGAAGAGAAGACAAATGAAGCCTAATCGTTTTTCTAGAAGGAAAATAAATTCTAATTGGTAATGAAGTCTGTTCTATATTATCCATGCTTTTCATGGAAACACAGTAACCTGTATACTGTGATTCCTGTTCACTACTGTGTAAAGTAAAAACTAAAATCTTAAAAAAAAAAAAAAAAATAAAAAAAAAAAAAAAAAAAAAAAACACTCAAAAAAAAAAAATCCGGGTGTGCCTGAACCTCAGACCTAGTAATTTTTCATGCAGTTTTCAAAGTTAGGAGCAAGTTTGTAACATGAAGCAGATTAGAAAACTTTAATGACTCAGAAAGCAAGATTTAACAGGTTAAAGGAAACTGATTAATTAGATAAGCATCTGGCATTGTTTCATTTTTATCAGTATTATCACTCTTACGTTGGTTTATTCTTACGCTGTACAATTGGGAGAAATTTTATAATTTTTTATTGGTAAACATATGCTAAATCCGCTTCAGTATTTTATTATGTTTTTTAAAATGTGAGAACTTCTGCACTACAAAATTCCCTTCACAAAGAAGTATAATGCAGTTCCAAACCGTGCTAACTACCTTTTATAAGTTCAACGTAGAAGGTAGTAATTTCTAATATTTAGACGTCATAGTGGAGCATATTATCATTTAAAGTGTATTGTTAGCCTTAAGGAAGCAGCCGATAGAAGAACTGAAGTTTCTTACTCATGTGATTTAAAATGGAGTTCACAAGATTGTCGTTGAGTTCTGATTGCAGGGACTAACAGTGTTGATACTGGTAAGGACAACAGTCGTCAGAATCAGTGTTCGTGATTGTGTTTGAGTACGTGGTAACAAATATGAAGGATATGATATGAAGCTTTGTATCTCCTCTGGCCTTAAGCAAGACCTGTGTGCTGTAAGTGCCATTTCTCAGTATTTTCAAGGCTCTGACCCGCCTTCATTCAGTGTGTGGCCTACAATAACTAGCATTTGTTGATTTGTTTGTTGTATCAAAATTCCCAAATAAAACTTAAAACCACTGACTCTGTCAGAGAAACTGAAACACTGGGACATTTCATCCTTTAACTCCTCAGTATTCATTTTGTGTTAATTGACTTTCAGAATTTCTCTACAGAAATTAAAGGGAAATTTTCTAATCTGCTTTTACCCATGTACTTCCATTTCAGACATGGACATGCCATTGTTATTTGGCTCATAACTATTTCCAAATGTTAGTTATTATGGACCCAATTTATTAACAACATTAGCTGATTTTTACCTATCAGTATTATTTTATTTCTTTTAGTTTATAGATCTGTGCAACATTTTTGTACTGTATGTCTTCAAACCTGGCAGTATTAATACCCTTCTTACTGACATATGTACTTTTAGTTTTAGAAAACTTTTATATTTATGTGTCTTATTTTTATATTTCTTTATTTATTACACAGTGTAGTGTATAATACTGTAGTTTGTATTAATACAATAATATATTTTAGTATGAAAATTTGGAAAGTTGATAAGATTTAAAGTAGAGATGCAATTGGTTCTCTTGCATTGAGATTTGATTTAACAGTGTTATGTTAACATTTATACTTGCCTTGGACTGTAGAACAGAATTTAAATGGGAATGTATTAGTTTTACAACTACAATCAAGTCATTTTACCTTTACCCAGTTTTTAATATAAAACTCTTAAATTTTGAAGTTCACTGTGTGACTAATAGCATGATGCTCTGCAGTTTTATTAAGAGATTAGCCTAACCATAAATCTCTCATTTCCTTAGCAAGCCAAATTAGGATTACCTTATATAAACAGTGTTGGGAACAATGTTTAACATTTTGTGCCAATTTGTTCCTGTATTCATGTATGTAAGTTACCAACCTGACTCTTCATTTTTAAGTTCCTTGTTACACCATGGTCATTTTCTAGTTTTTTACCAGACTCCCCCATCTCACAATAAAAAGCATCAACAAGCCTGACCTGCTGTCATTCTTTTAATCATTGTCAAGGTTTTCTTTGGGAAATGAGGTTTTCTGTTGTTATCCTGTACTTGATTCATCCTGAGCTCACTTTGGTAACACTAAATGTTTTAGACACTCACCACTAAATCATGGATTTTCTTGTGACTGAATGTTTTGGGATAGGTCAGATTAGACAGCTGAAGTCCTCCTGTGCAGAGGTTGCTCCTCCTTACTGAAACCGTTGCCCCATCCCTACTCCAGATCCCATGGCTTCTTCTTCTTGGTTCACTCCAGGGCACTGGGTTTAGATGCCTCTGTTCTGTACTCCCGCAGCTCCTGTCCCTTTCTCAACTCTAGCTCCTGCACTGTTATTTATATTCCTTCCCCACTGGGAACAGGGACCATGTCTGCCATAGTCAATTCTAACAGGCCCACGCCCAGCAAAATGCCTAGCAGTAGTTGGTACGACAAATATTTGTTGAATGAAAATATAATTTGCATGTTTACAGGGCTCAGCTATGCTTTCAGTATTTGTTTTGCCTCTAATCCCAGAATATATATGTTAAATGATTCCAGTAATTTAATGACTTTCTTATTGAGATCTTATTAAACCCTGGGCATAACAGACAAAATAAATTGTTCCTTCTTTTTCTGTTGCCTTACTGTTATGATTTATTCAGTTTATCTCAAGGTGTCTTCCGGATGCTTAATTTCATGGTACGGAGCACAGGCCCTGAAGGCTTGTGGATACTACCACTCCCAGAAGGAGTAGTTAGGACCCACTTCCCATACTAGGGCCCCACATTCCTAGATTCTCATTACCATGTTGCCTGATTTCCTCTCTCACTAAGAACAGCTCTCCACAATAAGCAAATTCACTTGATAGAAATAGGAAATAAAATAAATAATCCTTACAAGGCATCTATCTAGTAATCACTGTGATGTAAACCTCAAAGAGGGAGTACTTGATCCTTATGGATAGGTGGCTAATAAAGGAATTTAGAAATTATCAAATGTTCTTAAAAAAGTAAAATAGATATGTATCTTTCCCAGTATTCTATCAAATCACATAATGACAGCAATATTAATACTAGTCATGTTATTTATTTGTGCCATGAACAGGTGTTTTGCTACGATTATCAAAAATTTTCAGGTTGGGGCTGTAGCTCAATGGAAGAGTGCTTGCCTAGTATGCATGAGGCCCTGGGTTCAATCCCCAGCACCCCTAATTTTTTTCAGAAAACCTTAGATACATGAATAAAAGCTGTGTGTTGGTGAACACGTACATAATAAGTTACAGAAAAAGGATTTAAACACAGATCTGTCTGACTCCAAAATCCATCCTCAAGTAGCCTGTATCACATTTCATGTCAGAACAGTTTATATTATCTGCATTTAATTTCAGGCATACTCTTAAAGAATATGAATAGAAAATACTCATAAAATCAATATACATTTCACATCATGGTAGAAAACATAGGGGTGATGGTTATGAGATTTTTCAAATTGGTGTGCAAGGATAAAAAAACAGCTTTAAAAAGAGTACTATTGAAGTGTAATGATTAAATTGATATAGAAATTAATTTTAGAATACATTTCACCTCTTAAAATAAATGAATGTTAATATATAAATTTTGTCTGTGACAAAAAAAAAACATGGAAATTCCTCTGCTCTAGTAAACAAAAATATATTTTATTCAACAGCAGCCAGAATATACTTAGGGCTGTATAATATAATAGGGCTGTAACACAACACTCAAAATTTAAAAGATAACAAGTATTTCCTCTTGACTACAAAAAAAACTAGAGGAAACATCTGGAAAATTACATAAATTATTGAAAATCAACAGCATTAAGTACTCCATGGATGTTAATAAAAAGAGCTTCTAAAATATGAACTGAATGGTAATGTCATATATTAAAACTTGTAGTATGCAACCAAAGCAGTGCATATAAGAAAATTTATATAACTCATGTTAGAAAGAAACAAAGGACTTGATCATCTTAAGCTTATACGTTAAAAAACTAGAAAGAAGAACAAAATTAAAACTCAAAACCAGCAGCAGGAAGGCAATATTAAGGAGGAGAAAAATAAATGGTATAGAAAATGGAATAAAATCAGAATCGGAATCTTTGAAAAGATTACCAAAACTGATGAACCTCTAGCCAGATAGACCAAGAGGAAAGGAGGTGATGTCTTCATGGATCCTACAGAGTAAGAGGACAACAAGGAAGCAAAAACTTCATGCCAATAAATGTTGACAGTTTAGATGAAAATGACACTTCTTGAAAGACCCAAACTACCAGAAAGAAATAGATAATATGAATCAAAAAATAAATAGATTTCAACTTAGGAATCTCCCCATAAAGAAAATACCCAGCCCAAAATGCCTCCACTACTAAACATTTAAGATGTACGTTGCACCGATTCTACACAAACTCACCAAGAAGATAGAGGAAAAAACGTTGTCTACCTTCGTGAATGAAGCTGATAACGAAACGTGACAGTTCAAGAGACAAAACTAACAAAAATATCCCTCATGACCATGGATGAAAACATCTTTGTTTTAACAAAGTATTAAGATATTAACTTGATAGGTTTATCAAAAGGAGAATCATCATGATCAAGTGATCCAGGATTACAAGACTGACTGAGCATTCAAATATCAATTAGTGTAGCTAGATGTGGTGTGCACCCCTGTAATCCCAATAATTTGGGAGGCTGAGGCAGGCGAATTGGAAATTAGAGATCAGCCTCAGCAATTTAGCCAGACTCTGTCTCAAAAAGGGCTAGGGATTTTGCTCAGTGGTAGAATGCCCCTGAGTTCAATCCCAAGTACTGGGAAAAAAAAGTCTAATTTACAGAGTAAAATGGTGAAAAAAAAGTATCTCAATAGCTCAATAAATGTAAAATAAGTATCCAGAAAAACATCAGTATCAAGTCACAAAAATTATCAGTTGTCTGGGAATGTCAACCTGTTCAACAGCCTTTACAGAAATTCAACCACTAGCATCATACAGAGTGAAAGGTTAAGCACTTCCTAAAATTAGGAACAAAGCAAGAATGTCTGCTCTCACTTTTACTAAACACTGTTTAAGATCTCACCCAATGCAATATGACAAAAATAAATGAAAGGTATACAGATTACAGGGTGAAGGGTGGAAACTGTATTTGCAGACGAAATGGTTGTCTACAAAATTGTGCTCTATATGTGTAGTAAGAATTGTAATGCATTCCGCTGTCGTATATAAATTTTAAAAATTAATTAGAAAAAAGAAAATAAGGAATCCCTGGGTGGGGAGGTAGAGCAATTAGAAAAGATGACCGTAGAGTTGCAGGATACAAGGACATGCAAAAAGCAATTGTACTCTTACTAAATAGTACTAACAAAAGTGGAAGTTTACACTTAAAACAGTACCATTAAAAGTGTGAAACTCTTAGGGATAATTTAACTACAGTCAAAACCTGTGCACTAGAAACTACAAAATATTGTTGAAAGAAATTAAAATGCAAAGAAAATGAAGAAATATTCCGTGGATCAGAAAACTAAATATCATTAAGATATATTCTACCCCAAATTTATCTACTGACTCAATACAATTCCAGTCAAAATCTGAAGCCAAATATTTGTAGAAACCGATAGGCTGATTCTGCATTTATGTGGGAATCAAAAGACTTCAAGTAGACAAAACAATTTTGAAAAAAACAAACATGGAGGATTTACACTACCTGGTTTATAGTGTTATTTTTATAGAGCTTCAGTAGTTAAACAGCGTTGAATTGAGCTTGAGAACAGATGTTGATCAAAAAACAAAAAGAGTTAAGACCCACACACACAGCCTCAGTTGCGTTTGCCAGAGGTTCCATGATGAGATGATGAAGTGATTGTCCCAAAGTGGTACTGATAGTAGAAATTCAGGTAAACGAATGTGATCTTCATACCACATACAAATTTGATTCAAAATGGGTTATATGTTTAAATATAAGAGCTAAGTTTATACAACTTCAAAAAGAAAATGAGTTATTTGTGATTTTAGGTTAGGCAACGATTTCCAGATAAAAAGCATGAATTGCAGAATGAAAGAATTGATGCATTGGACTTTATCAAAATTTAACCTTTTTCTCTTCAAAAGATCTTGCTAAGAAAATAAAATCTCAGAATTGGAAAAAATATTTACAAAACATGCATATGTATATACCAAAGAGAGGTTAAAATATAGGTACACACACACAAAAAAAAAAAAAAAAAAAAACTATATATAAATGTTCAGAGAAACCTAATAGCCAAAAGAGTGGAAAAAGCCTAATGTCCAATCAAATGATGAATAAACAAAATGTGGTAAATATACAATATAGAATAATATTCAGCATTAAAAATAATGAAATGCTGATATAAGGTATGACATAATGAACCCTGAAACAATTATGCTAAGTGAAAGAAATTAGTCACCAGACTATATATTTTGATTCCATTTATATAAAATGTCCAAAATATGCAAATTTCTATAGAAATGAAAGAGATTCTGGTTGCCTACGACAGGCAGCAAGGGAGAGAATGAAGAATAACTGCTAATGGGTATGTTTCTTTTAAGGGTATGAAAATGTTATAGATTATGGTGATAGTTGAACAACTCTGAATATACTAATTCATGTAATTATGCATTTTAAATGGGTAATATGTGTGAACTATATCTCAATAAAGCTGTTAAAATATGTGTATATACATGTTGAATATATACAGAATATTATAAGGACTTTTACAACCCAAGGCCATTTTTAGAATCAAAAGAATTTTAAAGACACTTCACCAAGTAAGGTATATGGATAGAAATAAACAAATGAAAAGATCAACATCCTTATGGAAAGAGAAAGGAAAACCACAATGTGCTGTCACTACATGTTGAATAGAGTAGCTGAAATTTAAAACTCTTAGTAATTGCAAATTTTGGCCAGGAGATAAAGCCACTGGGACTTTTCTGCACGTTGTTGGTAGGAAATTTCAAAGAGCACAACCACTTCAGGAAAAGTAGTTTGTCAGTCTGTTATAAAGTCAAACACATACTTAACACACAATCCAGAAATCCTACTCCTTGATATTTACCCAAATAAATAAAAACATGAAAACATGTCCATTGAATAATTGTATTAAGATATTCATAGCACTTTTACTCAGAATAGCCAGTCTGGAACTAACCAAAATGTCTATCTACCTAGTGAAGGAATAAACACATCACATCATATCTATACAATAGGATATGGTTTAGCAATAAATGAATGATGTAAATGAATATAAAAGCAGATAGGCTAAGTGTAACATGATGTTATGGTCACTATGCTGATATAAAAATTTTCTAAAGCTAACTGGTTGGTTTTAAAGTATAAGTTTTATTATATGTAAATTGTAACTCAATAAATCTGATCTTTAAACAGGAGAAAGTATTAAGACTATCAGAAAGTGAATTCAGTCAGTGAGGCTATAAAAATGCAGAAGCTCCTCTGCTTACGCAAAACTACAAATGTTCTTAGGCCAAAAAAAATCTCATTTTATTAGTTTGAAAGGAAATAGATGAATTATCCTAAAGTTTATCCTTAATAAAACATTTCAACTTAGAACTGTTGTATCAATAGGACGGTAATCCCATACAATGAATTATCTCACTTAGTGAGTGTGCATTTCACAGTTTACCTTTGAAATTATCATTGCTGAAAGCTAAGCATTTTAAGGTAAACTAAAATAGAAGTATTCAATGTAGTATTTAAATTATAGAAATGGTTATACTTTATCAGAATAATAGAGGTATATAATTTATAATTTGGGAGACAGATTATCCTTTTCATGTCAACTTCACATAACCTTAATGAATTAAAAACAGACTAAAAGCATCAACTTTACCTTCTAAACATGAAATGGGCACTGGCTTTATGTTCTATTTGGGGTTTATTGGCATTGTTTTGAACAAACACTGAACAATAATTCAATATTTCTGTTATTGGATTGGGTTTGTTTTTCTTTCAGCCTTAGAATAGTAGAAGAGGGAAGTGGTATGGTCAAAATAGGCATGTTTGGGGCTGGGGTTGTGGCTCAGTGGTAGAGCACTCACCTAGCATGTGCAAGGACCTGGGTTCAATCCTCAGCACCACATAAAAATAAGTAAATAAATTAAATAAAGGTATTGTGTCCAACTACAGCTAAAAAAAATAAATATTAAAAAAACAGGCACGTTTAA